TTGAACAACCGATTTTTCGTTTTTTAAAAGAAAAATCTGCAGTTTTTCTCCCCATCTATGGCCTGCATAATTGTACAGAAAATTCTTGAAAGACAAAGGCTTGCTTTTTTGTTTAACGTAGAAACGTTGTAGCGTGTATTATTGTTTATTGTTTCAGATCATGCGCAGTCTTTCCTATCCAATTTTTCTCGTAAGAAAACCGTACACATTAAGTGAAAATTGTTAGTTCTGTTCACATATGAAATTTTGGAGTTTGTCCCTTTGAAAATTTTCTCATGGAAAGTCTGAATTGGATATTGAAAGTTGTGTACATACTATATGAAAATTGAAGAATCGTTCCTCATACGGAATTTTTCTGCCAATTTTCTCATAGTGTGTACCCCACTTAATTCTTCCCTCACTAGGAGCAGGGCTGAAAGGTTCTCTGGAAGCTGCTTGGTAGGAACATTGCTGATGGCCTGTGCCATGCAATTGTCACAGGAGGGGAACCTACCACCAACCAAGACTCACCTGGATCTGGTTTTTGGATACAGCTTTTCTTGCTTTATGTAAATTCAGTATTTTCTTTTCCTGTATTAACTTGTTAGTAGAAAGAAAAGTTGTCATACAAAATGATGCTTTAGAGTTTTTGTTGGTTAATCAATACTGGATCAGAAGTACTTGTCAGTATCGCTTGTGTGAGCTCTAACCAGCCATGGATATACCCTCTTCATTCCAAAGAGTAAAGCCAGCCATAGATGGGGCAGCACAGTGGCTAAATGGTTTGCACTTCCGCCTGGCAGTACTAGTCGTTGGTTCGAATCCCAGCCATGGCACCACCTGCCTGGAGTTTGCATGTTCTCCCTGTGCCAGCGTGGGTTTCCTCCCACACTCCAAAGACATGCTGGTAGGTTCATTGGATCCTGTCTAAATTGGCCCTAGTATATGTATGAATGTAAGTAAGGGACTGATGTGAATGTACAAGATATATGTAAAGTGCTGTGTAAATTGACAGCGCTAATATGTACCTGAAATAAATAAAATAAAAATAGATGGTTCAACTCTTGACCTGTTCAGCAGTCTCCAGCAGAGATTTACTCCATTAATGGGCAGACTGTTTGTACCCAAGTCATCCATTGATTGACTTGAATACAACCAGCATGTTGGATTTTTAGGATGCGACTATTGCCAGTGGCTATAGCCGCTAAAAATGATCACTATGTTCTCCCAGCAGGGACAACTCCCTGTGCCCCACTGCCAGGAGAACACAATAGCTCCATGGGATATATTCCCTCACCAACTTTGACTGAGTTGATAGGGGAATCAAGCAGTTTTCTTTGCTATGATGTGTGGTTGCAGTAAAGAAAATCGCATCATCTATGGCTTAAAACGGGTTTGACCATGGTGATGCATCACAAGTTATGGACCTTTGATGTTCCTTACAGATGACAATTGACGTAGGCAAATTACTGACATAGTAAATCAACAGGTAGAAATGTAATCTGTGAACCGACAAACTGTGTTTAACCACTTCCCGTCCGGCCGTTGTATATAAACGGCCGGACGGTGGCAGTGCAGGGGCGGGTGACCGTTTATAAACGGCCTCCCTGTCCCCTGCTTGAGCGCGCTCCCTGGGAGCATGCAGCACCGTGATCCGGTGCACGCTGTGTCCTCCGGACACAACACGATCGTCGTACGGGACCTCTGTGCAAGGTCCCGATCATGTGATCACTGATTGGCCAATCAGTGATCACATGCAGAGTAGTAAGCAAGATGTCACTTCTGACATCATTGCTTACTATATGTGAAATCTGTGAATGATCACAGATGTCACATGGTACAAGGTTATTCACAACAGCCTTGTACCATGTGACAAGCTGTGACCAATCACAGCTCACACAGTATTTCTCAATGGCTGCAAGAATGCAGCCAGAGAGCAGAGAAAAATTATTGCTTTTACAGCCTTTGTGGGTGTAAAAGCAATCAGTGTAAAAAAAAAAATCTTCATCACCCCCCACAAGTAGTACAGTGTCACCATGGTGACACTGTACTGCTAGGGTGACAGTATGTAAAAAAAAATAAATATAAAAATGTAAAAAAATGTTTTAAAAAATTTTATAATTTTTGGTTATAAACAGATTTGGTTTTTTTTTTTTTTTTTTTTACTAAAAAGATAACTGAATAAATTTTGGCCAAGATTTATGATGAAATATTATTTATTTGCAAAATTTTATAAGGAAAACACTTTTTTTTTTCAAAATTTTTTGACTTTTTCATACATATAGCAAAAAAAAAAAAAATCCCAGTGGTCAATAAATACCACCAAAATAAAGCTTTATCTGTCTCAAAACAATGCTAAAAAATTCATATAGGTACAGTGTTGCATGACCGCGCAATTGTCATACAAAGTGTGATAGTGCTGAAAGCTGAAAATTGGCCTGGACAGGAAGGGGGTGAAAGTGTCCGGACTTGAAGTGGTTAAGCAAAGTCTTAGATCAGGTAGGAGTTAACCTGCATTCACACCAGTGTAGTGTAGAATGCAAAATCGCATGCTGTTCTTGTACAGTCATTTTATTATTAACGGTACCCCAAACACATTAAGTAAGATGCGTGTTTTTGTGTTAAAAACCTGTGCAAAGCTCAAAAGGGCTGTGTGCTTCTTTTCTGCATTTTTTTTTCCCATTAAAAGAGAAGGCTGGCCCTGAAGGTTGAAATCCACCAGCTGCCCATGGATGGTAAGCAGGAATCATTGGTTCCTTATCCATGCCTCTCATTTTCTGCTGTATGCTGGGAAACAGATGGAACCAAATGGATTGCAGCTTCTAGAAGCTGCAATTTTTTCTCATTCTAGTTTTTATGAATCATTCCCCATAACTAGCTCTTTTTATCAAGTCAGCTTATGTTTTCAGTTGTCATGTAAACAACATCATTCTTGTAATTGAAGCGGTAACCGCTTTGAAAGATTACTACTGTAGATTGATAAATGTAAACCTTGTTTTTAAAGGAAAAGTTCACCTTTACAATAAAAAATATTAAATGTACGTACAGTATTTTTGCAGAACAAAAAATGTCCATCAACCTCCCTGGCGGTATGATTATTTCAGATTTTTGGTGCTGAAAGCTGTAATTTTTAGGAATAACTCACTGAAATCTGTCCGAACAAGAGTCTATTAAACATCCCGGGTATGATAAAATTTGAAACACAAAATCATAAATTATAATTTAATAAATAATCATAAAAAATAATAATATAATAATACATTTAATTCAATAATATAATCAAACCAAAAAGACTGAAATTTGAAATAGAGCGCCCAAGTTCGTACATTGCTGAGCAAAGTTGCAAAATCGTTTTCAGTGTCTGATGACGAATTTCCCTACAAATCATCACTCAATTCTGCAAGTGGTTCTGATTTACTATCGCTGTTCTCTAGCTGGTCTAAACCCGCTTTTGACCTAAAGGGACGCTTTTTGGACGCCATGGACTTTTCTCAGTTTCCAGGCAGAAAGAACAGACAAAATGCAGGCAGGGCACAGGACAAAGCCTCGGGACAAAATGTATGTGAAATGGGTTGAAACAGCAATGTTTTACTATGTAAAATTTTTTGAAAATTAAAAAAAAAAGTCATTTTTTTTCCAAATTTCCCGACGCCGGCATTGGCGCTCGTACGTCCCGACATCACAGGGACCGGAACACAGAAGCCGGATGCCGGCATCGGCCGGAGGAGATGGCCGGGGACGCTGCAGGGGACACATCGCGGGAGCGAAGGACAAGGTAAGCTCTGCAGGGAATCCCTATGCAGCGCCGCATGGTAAGCCCGAGTGTAGCTCGGGGTTACCGCTTTTGGTACTGACATTTTACCCCGAGCTACACTCGGGAATACCGCTAGGGAGATTAAGTGTGTTTTCCTTAGAGAGCCTGGAAAGCATTGCACCTACGATAAGTAGATCATGGGTGCAATGTGGGCTCCTGCAGACCTGTCCTCCAGTGTTCAACCTGTACCTCTGTATGGGCTTTCTGTTTGAAAGCCACAGGACATGTCAGTGGGCTCTGAGAGAGCTGATCAGCGCACTGCAAGACTATTGAAATTACAAGTCTGTCTGCCATGGTGTCAGACAGTGCATGTAGTTTATTTATTCACAGGAATCTTAAAGTATATTTTGTAGGTTTTTTTTTTTTTTGTTTGTTTCTTTGTATTGACTATTGTAGGTTTTTGTTAATACATACAAATCTGATACTAAATGTTTCCATCTTCTGTTAGAGAGTAAGATTGGTATTTGTAATTGAAGCCACAACTCCCATTTTTTTAAATTAAGCTAGCTGTTCTGGTGCTTTACATCTGTGCCTTTGCGGTAATGTGTATTATTAGGTGTGTTATTCATTGGTGCATTGCTTTGAAGTGCTGTATAGTTTAAAAGCCTCCCCAGTGCACAGTTGTGGTGTCAGAAAACTAAGAACATGTCCATTTTGTTTTAAATGGGTAACATGGAAGATGAAAGGATGGCCTTAGTGTAATGCATTTTAAACACGCAAAATACTGGATGGTAAAGTGCTTGCAGTAACACGGTACAAAGATGTGAATAGAGCCTTTACTAGAACACTCTGGATCTATTTCTAATGTTAATCAACGTTATGCTTTTTTGTAATGTGCAATTTCGTTGGGAAATTTATGTATATTGTGTGAAAGTCAAGCAATTGAGTTTATAACACCTTGCTAATTCTTCTACTGACAGCTCATTCAGGCCAGCAGATAACTGTTTGTGACCATTCTGTACATGACCCATTCTGTATGGCCTAGGTAGTATGCAGTCCATTTCATTTGAAATTAAAGCCAGTAAAAGGAAAATAGTTAATTACAATTTAGGAAAAAAATACCAGTCCAGTTGTATTACAGGGCGTTTTCTAGATGGCTACAGTTCAGAAATACAGCAGTCAAATCTGTACATGTGTTGTTTGTTTTTAGAAGCTTGGTTCTGGCAATGCAGTCTCATGTTTTATTAATGGTTTTTTTTATTTGCAGGTTATTGGACATCCTCCTAAAAAGCAATCATGCGTACAATGTGGTTTGCTGGTGGTTTCCACTGGGTGACTGTAAAGGGAAGACAAGCACTGCCCGCTGAGGCTCCTATCCTGACCTTGGCTCCACATTCTTCGTATTTTGATGCCATTCCAGTAACGATGACAATGGCCTCCATTGTGATGAAAGCAGAAAGCAAAGACATTCCTGTTTGGGGAAGTGAGTGACACATTCAAAGCGCAAACTTTAAACAGACTATAACCTTTTAGGACTTTTTGTTTTTTTAAATTAAGGGCTAGTTCACAAAAAACTGATATTTCTAGCATAAAGGCATACATGGTGAATTGAGCTAATTGTGATATTCTTAGAATTTCTCATCTCAGAGTCTCACTTCTACTGCTATAACATGGTATTTCCAGGCAACTTATTGAAAATTATTAAAACTTGTAATGACCATGCCCCATTTATACCCATGCTCTTAACTGAAGCTGTACAAGACACACAAACTTATAGCTCTGTTTAATAATATATAAATAAATGTATTTTTCAATACAAGCAATGTAAGTACTTAAAGTGGTTACATATACCTGGTGAAGTGACTGGCCTCAGGTAATACACAGAGATGAAACCATTCCTTCTACATACGTTATACCTGCTTATCTGCAGTATTTTCCTTTATACAGCCATTCAAAGTACTTTATTTATATAGCTTGCCTGAGTTTTCAGAAGGAAGGCAGCAGGGAGCCAAAATTACACTCTGCAGATCTCAGTGAGGGGAGCTGAGAGCAGAGGTAAGCCCCCCCCCCCCCTTTACACAGCGTACAGGAACAGAGCTGAGGTTGTCAATCACTGGCTGTGTGCTGGAGCTCCCTCCTCTGTCACTTTTTTTTATTGGTGTCAGGAAAACATGTTAGAAATGCTTCATGCAGATAGTAGAGGAATGAGGCTGGGGGAAGAACAAGACCTGTGAATGTTGCTTCAAGTGTAATGGTGGACAAAAGAAAAAAAAGATGGTTAAGAGTGTTAAAGTGATACTAAAGTCTGTGCTTTTTTTTTTTTTTCTTTTAAAATAGCAAATACATCATAACTGCTCTGTGCACTGGTTTTGCATAGAGCAGCCCAGATTCTCCTCTTCTTTGGTACCCCGCTGATGCTCTTGGCCCTCCTTCCTGTTGGGTGCCCTCATAGCAAGCAGCTTGCTGTGGGTGCACCCGAGCAGGTGTGCTCTCGAGCCATGGCTCTGCGTGTCCATTCACACACAGAGCCACGGCTCGGCCCCGCGTGTCCATTCACACACAGAGCCACGGCTCGGCCCCGCGTGTCCATTCACACACAGAGCCACGGCTCGGCCCCGCGTGTCCATTCACACACAGAGCCACGGCTCGGCCCCGTCCCCTACCTCTCAGCCAATCAGGATTGAGAGTCACCGGAGAACCAAGGCTCTCCTGAACATCGCTGGATGCAGAGGGGGCTCAGGTAAGTGTTAAAGGGGGCTGAGGGCGGTGGGGCTGCTACACACAAAGTTTTTTTTACCTTCATACATACAATGCATGCAGGCAAAAAAAAAAACCTTGAGCCTTTAGAACCATTTTAACGATATTACTAGCAATGCTAAAGAATTGTCATTGCAAGCAGTATGTGAATATTATGCGTGTGAATGGTACGGCATCAGGGGAGGAGTGTGAAGGCCATGACAATGGGCAGCGTGTGTAGGGGTAGGAGTTTGGTATTAGAGCAGACAGTAAGTGCAGTGAACAGAGCCATGCTGAGTGTATAGGAGTTGGCAGATTGTGCAAAGGAGGAGTGTGGAGAGTAGGATAGCAGACAATGTGTACAGGGGAGTCCTGCAGAGGGTTTGAAAATGGGCATTGTGCAGAAAAGAGTGCTGGAAAGTTGTGCAGTGTGGGTATGATGCCGGGGCAGTTTGGGAGGTTTGCTTAGGGTATTACTGCAGGCATCTCTTAAGTCTACTACTGTTCTTTACTACCCAGTCAACAGGCAGGGGGTGCTGCGTAACAAAGTGGTATCGTGTCTGGCTGTGTGACAGGCTTTGTAGATCTTAAGACTGGACGGATAGAAATACAAATCCTTTGGTGGGTAAAACCGCTTCATTTACATATATTTTTCATCTGTGTACTGTTTGCCTGGCCTTCAGCCTTTGGTGGTATTTTGATTGAAGCTGCCAGCGTTGTGATTTCTCCATGCTCCTAAGTTGTCCACTTCTGTCTACAATATAGGTACTTTACTATTGTATGTAGACAACATTGGTTCATGCTGAGCTTTGTGATCATATGTTTCTCTAACAAAGTTTTAGATCTCAATGCAGAAAATTGGATGCTTTTCAAAGAAACTCGTTTGCAGTTATTCAGTAGTCTTTTCAGGATGTAGGGTACGGAAATGTATAGTTTCTGGGGAAGTTAATAGACTGAAACTGTTTATTTGGTTATAGTGAAATTTACAGATCTACATACAACTTTGGGCTGCTAAAAATAAAAAAAAAATATTACGAGCAGAGCCCAGGGGAAGCTTCAGTGTGCAGGGAAATGTCTTGAGAACCAGGGAAAAAGTCTGTGCTTAGATCCAGACTATATGTTTACTGTAAATACAAACAGCTATATGGTAATAAGATGGATATGTCTAGCAGGTTATTGCAGTATGTATTGCTTTCTTTTAGTATATTCTCAATGAGCGAGCATTTGAATTGTTTGCTTTAATTTCTCACTTCCTTAAAAGCGTTATTAAACCCCAAAATAGAAATGTATTATTGCAGATTACCAGATGTGGTAGCTGTATCAGTTTTCTTTTTTTTCTATATATTTTCATTTCCAGGTGAAAATGAAGGAAAAATATCTTAAAAAAGGAAACAAATGTAGCCACATCTAGAGACTGGAAGGCTGCAATATGTTTTTGGGCTTAATATTCCTTTTAAGGGCTTTTTTTTTTTTTTTACACTATTGTAAGATGTCTGCAATAACACCTGCACATTTGTAATACATTTCAGTCTATTGTTTGATGATTGGTTTTTATTTTTTATTCTGTTGACTTATAAATGAGAAAAATGTAAAAAATAAGTAGGTTAATAGAAAGTATTGTCTCCTGAACATGGAGTGCATTTTATTAGTATTGTAGAAATGTATGGAAAAACTCCAGAAACACACCAATGTGAACAGCTCCTTACAATTTTGTGGTGAAGAGGTGTTAATAGGTGTAGAAAATGTCATAGAACCTTCAAATGTAAATCAGAAATAAATGTTCCATATTTCTGTCCTGGCAGACTCTTTAATATCTTTCAATTTTCTGCAGATATTTCAAGACCACATTTTATTGTATGTTTTTCATGTGTGCTCAGTGGAAACTAGGTTTTGACTTGCTTTTCACTTTTTTTAACCTGTGGTTAATGATCAGGTTTTATATGTTGATTTGTAGGTTCTCCCTCCAGTGACAGCCTGTATGTAACTTTGCATGATTCCCAAGTGCTTTTTCTGTGAGAAAATCAACCAGATTTTTAACCTAGAGCCATGGTACCCAGCCTGAGGGCTGCATGCAGCCATTTTTCACTTACTGTGCGTCCCTTGCAGACAGTAGTCTGTTTTTAATGGTTCTTTTGCACCAGATGCAGTTGAATGCATTTTTAGATGCAGTATGAATGCATATACAAGAAAAATGAATGTATTTCAATAAGCCTTTGTGGTGCTTTTGTGTGCGTACAGCATGCTGCTTTCTTTTTTATTACACTGCAAAAGGCATGTAATAGAAACAATGTTAAAAAATCATAATACCTAAAAAGCACACCAGATGTCTGCAAATGCATTACAAATGCATGTAAACACTCATGCAGAACTGCACACAAAATGCAGGGATTGTGGTGTAAGGCAATGAAGGAAAATATTGTCTTCGACTGGCTTCTAGTAGTTAATAATTCGGTTTTTTTTTATTTCACTTTGTACATTTCTGTGCTATACATCTCTTTTCACTCTATAAGTTTTTTGTTTTTTCATGAAAGAAATTTTAAATATGACACAAGTAATATTTAAGTGGGCTCTATCAAGCACAGATATGGAAGCCTTGATTTGGGAAGGGGCTGTAGTAGTGGTTATCTCCAGTAGTCTCATGTAACTTGTCTCCAAGCTATAACCATCTCCTGAAGCTTGCCCACAGTCTCCAAAAACTCCTTTAGCATGTTTGCAATCTCTGACCATCCCCTTTTGCAAGTGTATTGTCCCTGGCCACCTGCGGCTGCAAGTCTGTACTCTCTGACCATCTTGACCATCTCCTGCTGCATGTCTGTAGACCCTGACCATCTCCTGCTGCATGTCTGTAGACTCTGACCATCTCCTGCTGCATGTCTGTAGACCCTGACCATCTCCTGCTGCATGTCTGTAGACCCTGACCATCTCCTGCTGCATGTCTGTAGACCCTGACCATCTCCTGCTGCATGTCTGTAGACCCTGACCATCTCCTGCTGCATGTCTGTAGACCCTGACCATCTCCTGCTGCATGTCTGTAGACCCTGACCATCTCCTGCTGCATGTCTGTAGACCCTGACCATCTCCTGCTGCATGTCTGTACACCCTGACCATCTCCTGCTGCATGCCTGTAGACCCTGACCATCTCCTGCTGCATGCCTGTAGACCCTGTCCATCTCCTGCTGCATGTCTGTAGACCCTGACCATCTCCTGCTGCATGTCTGTAGACCCCCTGACCATCTCCTGCTGCATGTCTGTAGACCATCTCCTGACCTGTCTCCTGCTGCATGTCTGTAGACCCTGACCATCTCCTGCTGCATGTCTCCTGTAGACCCTGACCATCTCCTGCTGCATGCCTGTAGACCCTGACCATCTCCTGCTGCATGCCTGTAGACCCTGACCATCTCCTGCTGCATGCCTGTAGACCCTGACCATCTCCTGCTGCATGTCTGTAGACCCTGACCATCTCCTGCTGCATGTCTGTAGACCCTGACCATCTCCTGCTGCATGTCTGTAGACCCTGACCCTGACCACCCTGGCTCCTGCTGCATGTCTGTAGACCCTGGCCATCTCCTGCTGCATGTCTGTTGTCCCTGGCCATCTCCTGCTGCATGTCTGTTGTCCCTGGCCATCTCCTGCTGCATGTCTGTTGTCCCTGGCCATCTCCTGCTGCATGTCTGTTGTCCCTGGCCATCTCCTGCTGCATGTCTGTTGTCCCTGACCATCTCCTGCTGCATGTCTCTTGTCCCTGGCCATCTCCTGCTGCATGTCTCTTGTCCCTGGCCATCTCCTGCTGCATGTCTCTTGTCCCTTGCCATCTCCTGCTGTAAGTCTATAGTTTTTGACCTTCTCCTGCAGTTTCTGGTGGCTTTCTGTAGCGTTGCCATCACTGAATATTATGTGCAGCCCTTTGGTGCCAAGTAGGCTGACCACCACTAACCTAAACAGTATAATGTTTTCCTTTAAAGATTACCCTGATTTTGAAGGAATGATAAGGCACAATCACTCTCTTAGCCTGGGTTCACACTGATGCGGTGAGGAATTTGTAGCATTTTCTGTGCAAATTCCGCACTGCATCAGAATCGCAGCCCGTTCATGTGAACCGCTGCAGGTGTGTATGTTAAGTTAACACCCCAAACAACGCTGTGCGAAGTGCAGAATCGGATGGCATAGGTGTGAATACCCTTGCAATCCAATTCTGGTATGGACCAAAAAAAGGGTCCTGCACCTTTCTGGTTCAGGTGCGGTGCGATCAGAGCCATACAAAATGTATGGCTTCAATTGCACCGCACACATATCGCATGTAATTTGCACAGGAATGCGGTGCGGTTCCCGTGCGAATCACATGTGATCTACCGCACCACATATATGTGAACCCAGGCTAAAGGCTATACTACCTAACAAAAGGCCCAATATATACATGTAATAAAATATGACTGCCATGTGCACACAGGTAAAACGAAAGATAAACACAAGTTTTGTGACACTATTACATGTTGATTACATAGTTCACATTCAGATAGTTAACTTTCATTATTCTGCATCAAAATGTTTAAAGCTGCTTTCATTTGCCTCCTTTCCATACAGTTTGCTAATGTAGTTCTTTTGGTGTTGACTGAATTTGATAGCTACCTTTTAAATGCAATTGTATTTTTTCTTTTTTCACAGCTCTGATCAACTATATTAGGCCAGTGTTTGTTTCTCGCTCAGATCAGGATTCACGGAAGAAGACAGTAGAGGAAATTCGAAGACGGGCCCACTCTAATGGTATATGGCCACAGGTGTGTGAAATGCTTAGCTTTTGCCTTCATTATTACAGAAAGTAAATCTTTACATAATTCATTGTACCTGCATTCTTCCTAAAGTCGTTATAAGGCGTTTCTCAAATAACCCATTTAAACTGTATTTTCCACAATTAAAATAGTAGATTTGCAAATTCTTTAGGGTAATCCGTAAACTGCCATAAAGAAACAAAGAAAACTTCTAGAACAGTGACAACTTCCTAAGAAAAACATTAAAAAAACCTATTGATACATTTTTCAATTATATCTTTGCATTTCTGTATGCAAGATTATGTTGCTTCCCATTTTTTGTTAATACTCCTGGCAGATTGCTAACATTACTGGGCAGTCTCACAGTATCACTGCCTCATTAGGATACAATGCAGGTGGCCAGCTTCGAAATTGTTAACCCCTTGTTAGGACAGTGTTCAAAACAAATTTAAAGCTCGCAGATTTCCCAGCGGATTGGAGCCGAGTGGGACGTATGTCACAGCTGTGCCCATCCGATTTATGCAGAGCAGACACAAATAGGCCATGCTGAGCTCTATGAGCAGCCAGGTGTGAACAAACTCTGCTTCCTGTTTTATGAGGCTACCTCCAATCCGCTCCTGAAATTTTTTTTTTTTACCTTTTGGGGAACCGATTGGACCAGGGGGAAGGCAGGTGTAGGCTAGGTTCACATCTGTGTGGGTGGTGTCGCTGCGGATCCGCACAAAAATCCATGCAGCCGCACCACCCGCACAGAGGACTGCGGACCGGCGGGTGGGTGCCATTAGTTCTAATGGCACGCCGCCTGCACTGGAAAACGTAACCGTACTGGGAACCGAGGTTCCCATGCGGGCTACGTTTTCCAAAGAAGTGCAGGGAATTCTTCCCTGCATGTCAAGGGGTGCGGGAGTCCATTCAAATGAATGGGCTCTCATGCCCATGAAAAACGCAGCCCCCACGGTCGCATATATGTTGACCAGGGCTAAGGCTAGGTTCACATCTGTGTGGGTGGTGCCGCTGCGGATCCACACAAAAATCCGTGCAGCCGCACCACCTGCACAGAAGAATGCGGACCCGCGGGCGGGTGCCATTAGTTCTAATGGCACACCACCAGCAATGGAAAACGCAACCGTACTGGGAACCGAGGTTCCTGTGCAGGCTGCATTTTCAGAAGAAGTGCAGGGACTTCTCTGCGTGTCACGGTGCACGGGAGTCCATTCAAATGAATGGGCTGTCGTGTCCGCTCAAAAATGCGTGCCGCATATATGTGAACCAAGGCTAAATAGACACAAGTCGATTTACACACACCTGTCCATTGGGCTGCATGGACCTTCTGATCAGTGAACTGACAGGTGGATCTGATTGGAACAGCCATGTGAAAGGACCTTATGCAGGCCATAGACGGGTCGTTTGTCGGGCGAATTTTCGTTCGCACAAAAATCAGCCAATGATCACGCCGTTAGTGGGGCCAGCCCGTCGGCCGTTTTTTGCGGATCTCCTCATTTATTTTTATCGGTCATGTTGGAAAATCCATGAAAAACGGCCATTTTTCGTGGACATGGGTGGCAGCATCAGCAACGGGGCCAGCCATTTTTTTGTTTATCGACTGAAAATTCAACCGATAAACGGCCCGTCTACGGCCTGCCTAAAGAAGATGGATTCAGTTACTTCACTATCCAGAAGGATGCATCACGATAAAATGTTTAAATTAAAAGATGCATTTAATTAAAAGATAACATCACTGGTAATGTGACATAATTGTGAGTGTGGCTTAAAAGACATTTATGTGACACATGAATATAGAGAAAAAGCTTTATCCACAAAAGGGAAGACAAACAAAAACCTGAATTTGTGCATGTAGATAGTGGAGTATTGACAATCCTATCCAGTTATTACTTCTCTGTACTTAATACTGTTAAGGAAATAAATTGATCTGTTTTGTAGATTCTAGTATATGTAGTGATAAAAATGTGTTACCGCTTTCACTAAATCACTGCAAAAGTATAAACGGTATTCTAAGAAATGCATTGTCTTTTTTTCCCTCTGATGCACCTGGCGAGAGAGAGAGAGCGAGAGAGATTTTATTTACTAAAACTGGAGAGTTAAAAATCTGGTGGCGCTCTGCATAGACAACAATCTGCTTCCAGGTTTTATTGTCAAAGCTTAACTGAATAAGCTGAAGGTAGAAGCCGATTGGCTACTGTGCACAGCTGCACCAGATTCTGAGTGTTCACATTTTAGTAAATCCACCCGTGTTTCAAAGTATTTTGTTCTATAGGGCATGCTGAATACTGGTTACTTGTGCAGCACTATTAAGTGGGAATCAAAAGAAATGTTATTTTACTATAGTCGGTTTAACAAAATCTTTTGCATTGGTTGTAGATTAGGAAAGACATTTTATCCTCTGGATGACAAAAAGGAAGGATGTAAGGTTAAAGCTGATCTCTAGGCAAACATAAACTCTGTTAAATCCAGCTTTATTTTGCATATTGCTGTTTTTGAACACATCAACAGAAGCACATGGGGGTTTATTTACTAAAGGCAAATACACAGCACAGTTTGCAAGTGCACATGCTCTAGAGCTTAGTAAATATGGGGAAACACTGTTGACTTCCATCATCCAATCGCATGCAAGCAAAAATGCTGTTTTTTTTATTTTACTTGCATGTGATTGCAAATACCCAAAGTCAAACTTCATCTCATTTAGTAAGCTCTGGAGCAACTGCACTTGCAAAATACACAGTCTATTTGCCATTAGTAAATTAAGCCCCACAGAGACCTCTCGAGTCTGCTGCCATGCTATCATTGTTTGTGTTCCATCAGTGGTTTCTGGATCACTTGACTGGCTGCACAGAATTGCAGTTCACATGTATGTATTCAACTGTATATATAAACAGTTTTCCTGGAGTTCATCTAAGCTTACATATGTAAAATATGACTTGAAATTTAGGGCCAGTTCTCACCAAGAATCGCACAGGAACACGCTGTGCGTTCCTGTTTGATTCACATACAATGTGGGTGCAGTGCGATTTCAGCCCATTCATTTGAATGCACTATGCTTGAGACCTGCGTTTGTGGTGTTAGCATTGCACTGACACCTGCTGCAGCTCGCAAGAGCAGTGCATTTTGCACGAGGTACGGGAAACGCACATGGAACACGGTATGCCACACTGTTCAGGTGTGAACTGGCCCTAAGTGTGTTTGGAACAAACGTCTGTCTATTTGTATATGTAGTGTATATCCTTTGCTTTCTAGGTAACATTGTATTCAAAATGCATAGTAGCTCATGTTCTCTGTTCTTCCCTGCTATTGCTAGTTTTCGGCAGATAATTAACTTTTTTTCCCTTGTTTACAGGTAATGATCTTCCCAGAAGGAACCTGCACCAATAGATCATGTCTCATTACCTTCAAACCTGGTAGGAAATTAATATTTTGTGTCGGAATGTATGCCATAATTTATGCCTCTTCTCTAGGCAGGTATTCTGTCAGTACTGAAATCACAAAAGCATCATTCAGTCTATGCCAGCTCTTACAGCTGTTTGTATTGCACACTTGTTTATTCTGGTTTATCAATTTTTCTCCTGTTAAGTGCAGCTGATATTTGTACAGTATTACATTAATGTTTACCCTGTGTCCAGAATGAGTCCTTCTTTATGAACTCTATGGACTCTAATTTGCACACATGAACTCACATTTGTATGGGTGAGGTTTCATCACCATTTGTGTTTAGCTTTCCTAGAGTATTAGGTAGCAATATTGAGAGCATTAAAACTCATGCAGAGGTATTCAAAGTACTCTCAGTGAAAGTGGTTAGTGACGGTTTATAATTACTGCTAGCAAAAAATATATAAAAGTTATGTTTTTGTTTTACTTTTCATTGATTAAAGCAAACATTCCACTTTGCTCACATCCATCCATCTACCTCCAAATACATATAGCTTAAACCTTCTTTAAAAAAATAAAGCTTTGTGGAACAAATAGTCCTCCTGGCTTCTGAGGCTTTCAGGAGGTGTGGGTGACAGTACTTTGGATGCTCAAAATTTCAAAAATGTCAGGCTGTACCCTCAGCTTTAGTTATAGCCAGGGGCGGACTGACCATTTGGAAACTCGGGCACTGCCTAAGGGCCTGGGGTCAGTAGGGGGCCCCATGAGATGCCCCTGGTACCTTTTTCATAGGCTTTTTTCAGTTTGGGCAAGGACACAGGGGCCCCATGATCCCCTATTGCCCGGGGGCCCCATGAGTTGTCAGTCCGCCCCTGGTTATAGCCTTTTTTTTCCTGTTTCAGAAGCTACAAATAGTTGCCACCAGAGACATTTTTCTGCTTTGCTTTCTCAATCTGTTCCATATTCCTATAGATTTGTTTTTGGCAGAATGATTTGTGCCTAGTAGTTTGGTTAGTTTTGTGGACAAAGAATAACTTCATGCCCAAAGCTCATTACATGGCCAACTATAATATTTCAATAAATATATGTTTGTATTTTCTTAGCAGTTTATTTTGTACTGTTTTTTTCCCCTGTGACAGAGGGATACAGCTCTCATTGAATACAGAATTTAAACAGAGAGTTAAAACCTCCTTTTTAATTTTTCTTTTTTTTTTTCCTTTCGGTTGATAGGGTGAATTCCCTTCACACCCAGTCTTAGAGATTTGCTACCACTTCCTGTTGTATCTCCAAGTATGGGAATTCCCATATCGTAGACCGTTATCACCAGAATATTTCAGTTTCCACTGGAAGATTTTCCTCACCTCTTGCTTTCATGACAGTTTTTTGAATCATAGGATTTCCTCTTACTTTCTGTTTTGGTGACAGTGATCACCGAGAAAGATAAAGGATAATTTTTCTTTTGTATAAGGCCCCTTTCACTTGGGCAGACCGATCGGGTCATGTGTCCATTTACACCCGCCTGCATTTGATCCGGTCCACTAAAAGCAGAAGGGGGATTCATTCCCCATCTGTCTAGCGGATTGAATGATAGTCAGATGTAAACAGACAGCTGGTTTGTTTACATTTGACCGGCCATAGAGAACAGCGTACTGTGTCTTTGCCCGCTTTGCATGAGTGGAGTGGACACGGACCTGTCTGCCTGCTCAGCGGGGAGCAGTGGACAGATCCCCGCTGAGCAGGTGGATCCGCTGGCGGAGTCTGCCCCATGTGAAAGGGGCCTTACAGACCACAATAAAGATTTGGCAGAGGGTGCAACACTTCCCTACTCTGGGACTAAAAAAAGATTTGCTTTTACATCCACTTTAAATGGCATAGCACAGGTTAAACTGTGTCATATATTTATATAGTGTTCTGCTAATTGTTGTTGCATTTTACACATTCACAAACATCATAGAAATTATGCAAATATAAAGAATAATGAACAATTGGAGAACCTGAATATTTGCTATAGTTGTGTTTTCTACCATAAAATTATACTTTAAAATGATACTTATTTTTGTCTTGCGGTTTGTAATATAGTTCCTCCTGTTATGATATAGAAAGGCTTATCCAATCCAAAGTGAGATGGCACAGTGCATATAGTAATTGTATCAATTGTATCCTTAGAGTAGGAAATGCTGAGTAGATAAGCTGAGCTTCACCGTACATGAGTCCTGAGTCATGATAAATGTAATCCTCTTTCTAAAATCAAATATCTTGGCTTGAAGGTGATACCGCATGGTACTTGCCATGACCCATATTTGTTAATGTGTTTTATAGAATGTTTAAGTCCATTTAGATTCTGGCTTATTTATTAAGACATTATAAAATGCAGTGATCCATAACCATAAAATTCATACAGTTACAAGATTAATTTTAGATGTTTGTTGAAAATGTGATGTAAATTGAACATTTTGGCATTATGTCTCACTGTATACTTTTTTCTTCTTCTTGCAAAAAAAAAGAAAGAAATGACAGTCTCATTTGAGGTGAACATGACTGCCATTCATTTATTTGATCTTTTTCTGAGTTTGAGTGGTATATGAACATTTGAGTTAACAACACAGACACTTTATTTCGGGTGATATAAATGTATTTTTATTGAGGATATTATTATTGTACATCAATATTTATTTTGAGTGTGCAGATAGATTGTTTCACTTTGTTTTTTTTTTTCATTTTTTGTTATATTTGCTTGTGTTAGAGTTCAATAGCGCAGAGGTTTATATTTTGATGCACTGGTGAGTTTATATTGATTGTTTGGAATAGATCGATCACTTTTGTTGCGCTACATGTTTTTGATATAGAAAAAAATAAAATAAAGCCCTAAAAAAAAATTACAAAAAATCAACACTCTGACCTTGTCAGACTAAATTCAAAATGACATCAGTGTTCCTTTAAATGCTTGACAAACTTCTAATTAAATGCATGATGAGTTCTGCCAGTATAGTCAACAACAAACCATTCCCATCCATGCTTTATTGTGTGATCTATAAAAAAAAAAGTGTTCCGCAATAGATGGGTTGAAGAATGCAGTATATATTCATTTTAATGAAATTGTACATAAAGGGAAAACACATTAGAACCTTATTGCAGTATATGGAAAATACATTTATTGCAAGTATTTGAGTTGGACCCTTAACCTCACAATGTGTATCTTATTATATAATATCATTGATAATATAATTAGCTTTCTGTTTTCCTAGGTGCGTTCATTCCTGCTGTGCCAGTCCAGCCAGTGGTTTTAAGGTACCCAAATAAAATGGTAAGTACAACAGCCTTGGCTACAGATAAATAAATCTTTCTTGTCAACTCCTTTATAAGGTTCTGCTATTGCATTTTCTTACTGTTGTCAGAATGCTCAAGGAAGCAACAAATAGCAAGGCCTGTAAATATCGGGAGGTCAGACGTGCAGGGCATGGCCTAAGCAATCTTGTTTTTATTTCTTTATTTTTTGGTGCTATTTTTTTGTCTTGCAAACATCAGCCCAGCATACTTGTCATAGACATCTTGTGTATGAAAGATAGAGACTAGTGCTGCTAAATATAACTTTTAAATCTAATCAACAGAAATCATAAGCAGTTATAATCTGGTCACCTAAACATTTCAGCCTAATTATCCCAACAAGCCATTTATTATATGCTGTGATGGCATACATAAGGGATGCATCATTTTTGTAAATTCATACGGATTACACTGAGATTGTCTCTTGGCTGTAGAGATGAAAGCAACGTATGGGATGAGCAGAAGTCTCTGTAACCTGCATGGGGCTGTAAATATTGATTAAATCTTATGTGCACCATCTGGGAAGGTGGGCCAGGTTTAAATCACTTCGGTCCCTGAGTCTTTATTTGTGACAGAAAATAAATAAAGATAAGTCATTTGGCTTTTGGGAATTTAGGAAATCCCTTGACTGTAATGTATCTTGTTTACAAAACCAATAGCTGCGAAGAGCAAGCAAGGACCTTTCCCTGGAGCTGAGTGCAGAACTGTCACATTAACTGGCACATGAGAACTTAACTCCTTCCATTCTGGGTAATGTTTATACTATACACAGCACAGGTGACCTGACCGAAATCTATGCTAAGTTTGTGCTTCTAGAAGAGAATTTAACCTTGGCATCCCATGTTTGTACTCTATAGAGCATTGTTTCTCAACCTTTTTCTAGTCGGGGTGCCCTTGAAAAGTATTTTCAGTTCCGAGGCACCCCTTTCCAAGGCTTGGTTCACATTACTATGTGTCACTGAACGCACGTGAAATTGCGCTCATTCCTGACACACAGACAAATGCTCTGCTCTTTAGGAGTACCCCATACATTGGCAAACGCAGGGTGTTTTTGGTGTGGTGCAATTTTAAAACTATGGTCAGGGACGACTTTCCGTGCATTTCTGCAGATAAGGCAGCCCATAGAAATGAATGGGCTGCCCTACACACAGCCACACAGATGTGAACCAAGGGCCTGTTTACCTGTGAGGTTGGAGGGCGGTAAAACCACGCAACTGAGCTGCTTTTACCACGCCCAACTGCCCCCTCTTTAGCTGCAGAAACAGCAGCTGGGGATATAAACATGCTGTTGCCACAGCTGGAAGTATACCTCCAGGTGAATGGAGTTGAATTACAACCACCTCGCAACTGTGTACACATTGCATGCAGTTGTGGTGTGGTGATTGATGCTGGGGTTAAACCAAGTGGTGAGGAGGCAACATATTTTGCCTCTTTACCACCTGTCATATGCCTCTGAAAAGCAATCTGAGCATGGATTGCTTTTCAGAGGAGCTGCAGTCCTTGCTGCTATTACAAACAAGTCCTAAAAAAGCAGCTCTGATAGGACAGGAATAGGGGGTCGAGATTAAATGTAAAATACATATACACACATATAAAAAACAAGCACACATATGTACACACACACACAGATACACACATGTACGTACATACACATACACATGTACACACACATGCATACATACATGTACACGTACACACACACACACACACGTAAACATGTACACACACGTATACACACATACATGTACACATACACACGCACATACTCGTACACATACAGGCACATGTATACACAATTATGGAAAATTACAGTACCTTACCTTCCATCACACAGCTGGGTACTGCACACTAGGGGGAAGCAGAGAGCACAGAAGACACTCTTCTGCTTTTGCTTTCATTTTGCTGAGCGGTGTGACGGCTCCCAGTGCGGCTGGGGATCGGGAACCTGGGCTCAAGTGACAGCCATTCTCCCCATGGCACCCCTAAAGATCTCTGGCAGTACCCCGGTTGAGAAAGGCTGCTCTAGAGGACTATTTATAAAGGTTTGCATTTTTTTTTCTTTGTTCTACCACACAATATCACCTATAGAAAATAAGTGGTAGTAAATGCAGATAAAAAAAAAATTCTGGGCCCCCTGCAAGGTACTGTCATAATGTGGTAGTATGCATCGCATAATTCCACATTTGCTGAGAAAAAACATTCCCCCCTGGGTGATAAATGTACACTACAAGGATCTTAGCAAACTTTGTTGCAGACGTGTACCTTTTCTTCTTCAAACTTCTGGGAAAATTAATGAGCCAATCACACAAGCAGGAACTGACATTTCTGGACCTTTTTTTTTACAGTTTACCAATTTTTAGATTTGGAGAAGATGCTTTAGTTTCTTTTTAATCCTTTTTTTTTAATGAACTAAGCTGTCTAGCAAAAGTGTCAGAGGGTTAAGACAAACGAGGTAGCACTGATAAGGGTGCTTGCAATGATCGGCCTTGTTCATATATGCAAGACCTTTAAGGAAACAAGCTGTTGTAACTGCTTAAAAAGTGTTAGCAGAAGTTTGACTTTTAATTCGTTAGTCAAGTCCATCTAAATCTGCTAGTGCATTTGACACTACCCCTCCCCATATTGATAATGCTGCTGTCCAAAGGTGCCTCCATTGCTGCTCCTTCCAGAGTGGAGACACCCAGGATGTCTATTACTGGCCAGTTCACCCGGTCAAAATACATTCTTAACCAATTGTCCTCCAGAGGTTTACCCCCTTCCTGAACAGGCCATTTTTTGCGACACGGCTCTGCGTAATTTTGACAATTGCTTGGTCATCCAACACTACATAAATGAAATTTATGCTTTTTCTTTCTCGCTGTGTCATCTCGAAGAAATCCATTGTGCATTATTTTAATTTAGGCTCCATCCCTGGTTACATTGTAAGACTGGTGGCATCTATACTGTGTATTCCCACAGCCACCAGTCTTGTCTTTGCTCCAATGTAGTTCTGTACAGTGAGTTGTAACGAAACTCCAGAAAGTATTCACAGCGCCTTACTTTTGCCACATTTTGTTATGTTACAGCCTTATTCGAACACGGATTGAATCCATTTTTTTTTTCACAACATTCTACAAACAATACCCCATAATGGCCACATGAAAGAAGTTCATTTTGAAATTGTTGCAATTTATTAAAAAAAAAATGAAAAAAAAAACACCACATGTACATAAGTATTCACAGCCTTTGCTCAATGCTTTGTTGAAGCCCCTTTAGCACCAATTACAGCCTCAAGTCGTTATAAGTATGATGCTACAAGCTTGGCACAACTATTTTTGGGCAATTTCTCCCATTCTTCTTTGAAGTACCTCTCAAGCTCCATCAGGTTGGATGGGGAGTGTCGGTGCACAGCCATTTTCAGATCTCTCAAGAGATGTTCTATCAGGTTCATGTCTGGGCTCTGGCTAGGCCATTCCAGGACATTTACAGAGATGGCCCGTAGCCACTCGTTTGTTATGTGGGCTGTGTGCTTAGGGTCGTTGTCCTGTTGAAAGATGAACCGTTGCCCCAGTCTAAGGTCCAGAGCATTATGGAACAGGTTTTCATCAAGGATGTCTGTACATTGCTGCATTCATCTTTCCTTCCATTCTGACTAGTTTCACAGTTCCTGCCACTGAAAAACATCCCCCAAGCATGATGCTGTCACCACCATGCTTCACTGTAGGGATGGTATTGGCCAGGTGGTGAGTGGTGCCTGATTTCCTCCAGACATGATGCTTGGCACTCAGGCCAAAGAGTGCAATCTTTGTTTCATCAGAACAGAGAGTTTTGTTTCTCATGGTCTGAGAGTCCCTCAGGTGCCTTTTTGGCAAACTTCTGGCGGGCTGCCATTTACCTTTTACTGAGGAGTGGCTTCCGCCTGGCCACTCTACCATACAGGCCTGATTGGTGGAGTGCTGCAGAGATGGTTGTTCTTCTGGAACCTCCCTGGATAAGACCCTTCTCCCTCGTTCGCTCATTTTGGCTGTGGGGCCCACTCTAGGAAGATTCTTGGTGGTTCCAAACTTCTTCCGTTTATGGATGATGGAGGCCACTGTGCTCATTGGGACCTTCAATGCTGCAGAAATTTTTCTGTACCCTTCCCACAGATCTGTGCCTTGATACAATCCTGTCTTGGAGGTCTTCGGACAATTCCTTGGACTTCAAGGCTTGGTTTGTGCTCTGACTTTCACTATTAACTGTGGGACCTTATATAGACAGGTTTATGCCTTTCCTAATCATGTCAATCAACTGAATTTCTCACAGGTGGACTCCAATCAAGTTGTGTAAACATCTCAAGGATGATCAGTGGGAACAGGGTGCACCGGAGCTCAATTTTGAGTGTCATGGCAAAGGCTGTGAATACTTATGTACATGGAGGTTTTTTATTTTTAATAAATTGCAAAGATTTCAAAACAAACTTTTTTCACATTGTCATTATGGGGTATTGTTTGTAGAATGTTGAGGAAAAAAATTAATTGAATCCATTTTGAAATAAGGCTGTAACATAACAAAATGTTGCAAAAGTTGAGCGCTGTGAATACTTTCTGGGTGAACTGTACGTCCCTGCTCGCTGTAGTGGGTGGATTCGGTAGTCTTAGACTCCCGGTCTGAGCTGCGCACAATGTGCATGTGACTGCAGCTGGCTATGTGCGTGTGCCCGGGGTATAACCCTCGGCACGAACTCCACCTTTAACTCCTCCTCTGATTCACTTCTGGCTGTGACTTCCTGCTTTTTCCGTTGCATAATGGGGAAATGTAGTTTTTGCTTTCCCCCAATGGATATAATGTGCAGCAAGAGAGAAAGTCCTCCTCCCAGCACAAGAAAGGAGCACTCTTTTTCAAGGATTTCCTGATGTCCCTGAGGCTGAAAATTTGAAATTACAATAAAAGTAAGGCACGATCATTTGCACATTGTCAGCAGTTTAACAGAGCTTAGGGAAAGGGATATGCATTTGCAAA